ATCACACCATGCATCATGACATGATTATTGTTCAGACATCTGGAAAAAGAAAAGAAAAGAAGATTGAAAATGATGTTTTAAGGATGATTTAAAAGGTGTTTTCTCACCACTAACAGTCGTTTTGCATGTCTGACGGCAATGAAATGAGCTACGGAATGTTAAGGGCTGTTAAAGAAAAAAAGTGTGTACGTGTGTGAGGGGTTGGGGCGTTGAATTATTTTTTATTTATGTCAGGTTGTGTAAGATGATGTAAATTCACGTGTGTGTTCACAGTGTCTGTGTGTGTCCCTGTCTGTGTGTGTCATGCTGAGTCGTGCTCTCTGTCCCTTCAGGTGAGAGCCTTCGTTTAGAGCCTCTACATGGAACTGTGAAGAAAAATGTGGCTTTAATTCGTAAGGCGTGTGCGTCTGCATGGTCCAATCCTCCTTTTAGATGTACTGGAATTCTTGTCGATGTGAAACCAGACTGCAGCCTCTTTTCCTTCTTTCCTCTTTATTTGTCCACTTCCCCGTTTCCCCACGGGGGCTTTAAAACTGTAGTGGACGGTGGCTGCCTCTCAACGTCCTCAGCATCCATCATTGTTACCTTTTTAATTGAGCAGAAAAAAAATAAAAACTAACCACCAAATTATAGCTACGTTGCTTTTTGCGTCAGCAGCTGACAGTAACTGATTTGAGTGGAAGCCACTTTGTTCCTTTCTACTGCAGATCCTTGGGTAAAAAAAAAAAAAAACAAAGCTCCTTCCTGCCTGACGTGACTGTTGAAAACCAACAACAAGTGAACAACGTCATCACAAAAAAACACTGAAGCTGAATTCTTCTGTACACAACGACAACAACAAATATTTATTTGCAGTGTTTGTGATGTCACCGTTGTCCCCTTGTTGTTTTCTCTGCCTCCTTCCTGACACCCCAGTCCTCCCCATTTCTAGTAGCCATGCTATGATAAGAAATGAGTTCTAGAATGTTCTAAATAGATTTCATCTTTTAAATGATTAATACGTGACTTCAAAACACGTTTACCCAAGACGACTCCATTAAATCTCGCCTATGTATCAACATAGAGGCTGGTTCTTCTTAGAGATAGAATTCTTGTTTAAAACATCACAATTATCCTTTAGCTTTTTTTTTCTTTTTTTTTTCTCTGTGGTGTGACCTTTATCTGTCTTTCTCATTCCCAGCATCCTTTTCTGCCCCTTCTTCTTTTTCTTATCTTTGCTTTCCCTTCATCTCCCATGTCTCTGGTCTTGGTTTTTCTTTTTTCTTTTTTTTTTTCTAACAATAGATGTTAAACTAGTTCAGAGCTCCATTGAGGAGAAGCCACCAGGCTGGGGTTTTATATTAGCTGGGCTCCAGCCTCAGGAGAGACCACAGGGTCTGGGAGAGCTTTTTTAACTACGTACTGTAGCAGCAGGTGGCACGTGTGGATGGAAGCAAACACTTGTTCACAGCGGAGGTCTAAATGTTGAAGGAGAGCGTCCTGAACTCTACTGCCACCAATCCATCCATTAATATAGTTATATTCCAGTGAATATCCCAACCTTTTCAGGTTAAAATCAATGAAAATTGACTGTGAGAAATACATAGATTTATTTCATATTTTCTGGACTACAAGTCGCACCAGCCAAAAATGCATAGTAAAAAAAAAACTCAGCTAAAGGATGGGAAAAAGTGTGACTTATAGTCCGGAAAATACTGTAAACATATCACCACATTTACGATGTTCCCCTTTAAACTAAAAAAAAACAAAGCTTAAATTATTATCATTAAGAGCATCCACAATAGCATGTTATTTCATCCCCCTGAAAACTATATATAAATACAGAGTATATGTGGTGCGTCTGACTCTGACTGAACCCCAGCAGGTGTAACAACAAGTGAGGCAGCGGGTGGAGAACAGCTCAGTCCCACAGGCAGGGATAGACTGACAGAAGCAATAAAAAGCAGTGTAGCACTCTGCCTCCGCCTCTCAGCCGCTCATCCCGACATTCCCGGCCTCTGTGTCCTGATATCTATAAACACATTCTTCTTTCTTCCTATTCCTGATTATTTTATTATTTTATTTCATCACTCCTGTCATTTCTAGAGCCTCTTTCACATTATTTCCCCTGTAAATTTTCATTTTTTTCATTACATACTGTAACACAATGTTAACCAGGAGACAGATGTTGACATCTCCCTGTAGCTGGCGTTCCCACGCGTTCACTTAACCGTGAAATAAGAGTAAGAGTAAGAAGTCAATCTCCCGATTTCTGCATTGACCCGTATGTGAGCTGTTACAGTTTGATTGAAGGATAAAAGACTGAGGGAAAGCCAGTAGGGTTTGGTTTGTTTTTTCTAGTGCTGCCTGAAACAAAGACATTTGATTTGCATTGTGTTTTGTTTTTCATTAAATCACTTCATGCTTTAAAATGTTGTAAAAAAGAAATTAAATAAACAAAGGCCTCAGCTTTAAAATGTGAAATCCATCCTACAGGCTGCTGCAGAGGTCGTATCCCAGAATCCCTCATCAGTAAATATTGCAGCTTAGTGTGTAATTAGCTCAGATCAATGGTGGAAAGTTTGGGAGCAGTTTTATTGATTAAAAGTGTGTGTGTGTAAGAGAGTGTGTGTGTGTGTGTGTATGAACAATGCCAACTTGTAAATACGTTCCAACAGCGTTTTTAAAGGTCCACAGTGTAAAACACGGGTGGAATGATTTCATATTACATTTCTTTTGGCAGGAATATTAAATAATGTCCCCGGTGTATTTATAATTGTACATTCTCCAAAATGTAAGACTTGTTGTTTTCATTACATGAGAACACGGTGTTTTATTTTATATGTATAATTTTAATTTTATGGACTCAATTTATTTTAAAGTTAGGCTTCTTATTGTTGGCAGAGAATGAGGATTTCAAAGTTCCTATACAATATATCCGTACTTTGCTTTGCTTGGCCTAATAAATCTGATCCTCCTACCACTTAGATACAGGTTGTTAGAGTCAGTGACCAATGATCACCAAGTTATTTTTCAGTTTGTAAGTAAAGCCCTTCAAAAAGGTTTCAGTTCATGCTAACATTATTATTATATTGTCTGTCAGTGGTTAGCTTGTTGTCATTGTTAAAAAGCAGCATCAACTTAGTATTATTACATAGGCAGTCACTTAACTGTGTTTCTCGTCGGGTCACAGTGACTAAAAAACAATCAAAAGGGGTTCATGTTTCAAAGTATTTGTAGGGATATTTTGAGTATTTGAAATGAAAAACGTTTTGTTTTGTTTTGTAACCCTTTGGCTATATTAAAAAACACCGTCTTGTTTTTCAGTAGTTGGTTACTGTACTGGATGAGAGAATCATTTAGCACCACTATGACATCTGAGTTATCAAAATTTCACTTTCGGCTTCATGTTAAACAAATGTTTTGGAAAGCTCAGGTTTAGAGCCAGCAACTCAAAAGCTGAAAAAGTACTGTGTGTGTAAAGTGCAGCACATTTTTGTCTTTTGATAATTCATCCTTGTCTCTTCTCTTCTTCATTCCCCCTGCACTTGTCACTTCTGCCTCTGCTGCTTTCTGCCGCTCAGTGAGCATGCCAGCCAGTGAGAATGAATCAGTCAACACAGACAACGCCCCAGGGGCTGATGTGGAGGGTGAGACCTGCTGCACCCGGCTGGCGTAAGTACCTCTCTCTGTCTCTTTTTATTCCCCTTTCTTACAGACACACCCAGACTCACTAAGTCTTTCTATTTCTCAGCTCTTCGCCATCATTTCCAATCAATCCTTTACCATGTCTTCCATGTGCTAGACCCTAATGTTTGAGTGTCTACACGAGCTTCTCTAATGGCTCTAAATCAGACCTCAGTCTCCATAATGTCGCCAAGCTAATGTTCTCACTGCGATCGGAGAAGATGGAGAACCATGACTGTGGTCTGCCGTCTAACATTTACTGAGAAGACACGGGTTTTTCTAAGGATACGATCTTAGGAGAATAACTATTAGCGAGACCATTAAAAGATGGCGATATGAAAAAAATGATACAAACGTTGGACTTCCAGAGAAGTTGGTAAACCTGTTGTAAAAACCTTTAAATAAATATTATTTGATACTGAAAAGCAGCTTAAAAGGGTTAGGGTAAAAGAGACTCAAGTTATTTAAAAAGAAAAAAAACAATAATTTTACAATGATAATCAATAAAACAAAATTACTGTATTTTGTGGACTATAAGTCGCTCTGGAGTATAAGTCACACCAGCCAAAAAATGCATAATGAAAAACACACATACAAGTCGCTCCAGAGTCGCTTCAGTGCAACAATCTCAACATTGAATGAAACCAGCACTTAATATTTACCTGCAGCCCAGTGTTTAGAGATATTGGCCTTAGATTTCTTTTTTAATTAAAAAAAATTAAATTAATTTTTACATTGTGTTTTTTAACTTTAAAGCTTTTTAATGTTGCAACTTTTCTTCAACAAATCCCTAAGGGTCATGGAATTATTGGAGGGCAAGGATCAGCAGGTCAAATTAATAATCCAATCTCTCCTTTATGTTTGCTAATTGAGTGGCGTTTTAAAGCAGTATTTGTGAAATTGATTGACAATAGTGCTGTCTACATAGGGGGCGCTGCAGAAAAGGTTTGAAAACCACTGCCATGATGTTACATTTCTGACTTTTCAGACTTTTTTCTACCTAGTCTAGAGTGTGTTGCAGCCTTCACTCTGACTAATGCGGGAGTGAATCATCAAACTTTTGTAGTTTTCACCAAGGTTCCAAACGTCTCTGGACGTGACATTAGTACGACCAGGACAAGGTCGACGTTTGGTCATGTCACATTAAAAAGAAAGGTTGAAGCTTTATTTGGTTTCTCTCCCTCCTCTGTGGGAGTCTGTGAGCAGCTGACTCACCCCCTCTCTCACTCCTCTCTCTTTTTGTTCCTTTTTCTCCTTTAATCCAACAAGTGCATGCGTTTAATCCTCTCTCTTTCTCAGACACTGGGCACAGAAGGCACCGTGACTCCGTCCAGGCTCACATCAGCACACAGAAACGCACACAAAGACAAACACCCACATACAAGCCTCGCCCTCACTTTGAAAATATCAAAAAAAAAAAAAAAACGAACAGAACATGAACAGTTGAAGAATGAGGCATTTCAATTTAGAGTGGAATTAAGCTAAGAGCCAGTAGGCACGTACGTCGATGACACACTGATGTTTTTCTGTGCTCTCACCGTCCGCCTGTTCCTTTTTCTTTTTTCCGTCTTTTGTTGTGTGCTTCGTTTGTTCTGTAACCCTCAGACCTACACAAGTCCAAATAAAGGACATTCCAACTTATCAGTGATCACACGGAGACCACTCCGTTTACATTAGAGTATCCAGGGCCTGATAAAACAACAAAGCTCGCCTTAAACTACAAATACAAATCCAATCCTTCATCGTTCCTCTGGGACTTTACCAGCAGTTTGTCTCGGGGCATTTCCTCGCTCTCCGTATTACGCAGATAAGATTGAGATGTTACTGTTCTTTTTTAACTCCCGGCCTCTGTGCGCAGCCAGTCAGTTATCACTATCATGTCTCTGCTCAGGTCCGTCACTCAGTTCATTGGCTTGAACAGATCAAATCAGTACACACCAAACATTTATATCGTAGTATTCATCGGGTTTAGTTGAAGTCAAACCTTCAGTGAAGGTAGATCGTCTACAGCCTGTGAGCTGAGGATCTGCTACACAGTCAGTGACATTTAAAGTGCTTATTATTTTAACTTTTTATATATATTAAAATATGTAGTGTGGTCGGTAATGATCACTTTTATTGAAGTATAATTTTGTTTACTTCAATTTTGTATTTCTACAAAACATTTCAAGTGTTTAAATTGAAACGTCTCAAATTAAATGACACAAAGATTAGTTAACAAAATGACTAGTTAAATTAAAGTCTGACTAAAGGTTATTAAACTGTAGGAACTTCAACAAACGAGAAACTGATACAAAATACTACTGTGTTAGCCCAAAGAGAATTTGGGATTTGCTGTGTAAGGTTAAAAATATTAGACAAAAGAAACCCCCCCCCCTCCTCTCCCCTTCCCTCCTTTCTTCTCCCATGCCCTTCTCAGCTCTCTTCCCTTGTCATCCCTCCTTTCCTACCCTCTCTCTCATCTTATCTTCTTTCCTCTTACTTCTCACTAATCTCTTCTCTCCCCCTCATCCTCTCCTTTCTTTCTTCTCCATCTCCCCTCCTTGCTCCTCTCCTTTCCTCTCTTATCTAAAAAATGACTTCCACATTTCCTCGTCCTCACTTCTTCAGGTTCGTACCTTCTTCTGTTGCAGTGGTGAACCGTCCACAGATTTTTAAACAATTCTGGGGGTTTTTTCACACCCAGGTTGTTTTTGAACCAACTCCAAACTCACAGCGTTATTCTCTAGACTAACTGCCACTGTGCTGTTTGTGCGAACGTTAGCGTTCGGCCAGTTGGTTCAATATACGGATACAAACATCACACCGTTCAGCTCTTCCTTTTCACCTCAGATTTCAGACCTGCAGATGTTTATAAGCTGTTCTCATCTGAAAAGTGCAGTACATTCTGCAGACACAGGGCTGCGCTGATCAGGTGACATGTTTGATAAGGCACCCTGATGATCCTCCAACCACCCGTTTCATGTTGTGTTCCTGTGTCTATACGTGTGTTACGTGTGTGTGTGTATAATCCATTTTGTTCTTTGTGTTCCAGAAATAGGATCTCCAAATCCAAGTTCAGGTTAGTACATGTTGTTTACCATAGTCTTCATCTGCTCCACTGTCTCCACTTGTGTGTCATTCGTGCGGTCAATAGTGTGTATTTGTGTGCAGTCCCAAAGACAGGAGTGAAAACTAGGAAAATAAACAAAAATGATCAAGTTATTACTGCTTCATGATCAGGAAGATATTTTATTTAATTAATATGAAGTCGTGATTTGAAATGTGAAAAATAAATATGCAGAAATGCTGTTTATATATATAAATATATAAATAACCAAAATTATTTTTATTTTTATTTATTTCCGTAACTAGTACTCAATTCCAAAATATAAATAACCAAAATTATTTTTATTTGTATTTATTTCCAATAACCGTAACTAGTACTCAATTCCAAGGACTATAAATGCAACATAAAAAAACCTAATAAAAAAATTTTTTTTTTTTGAAACCTTTATAAATCCACCTTTGTCTCTTCTTCAACCTTTAATTGTGTTGTGCAAAAACAAGGATTTTGTTAGAGAATTAAAGCCACTGTGGCCTGAAATCAAACAAAATGCAATTACCTTTTTTGATCTTAATGGCAGCTGGCGTCCAAAATTAGTTCATCTATTTTACTTTAAAAGGAAAAATACAAGTAGAGGGCAGAAACAAATACTATATATAAATATATAATTCTTGTATACTCTACTTTGTGTTTAGATTAGATTCGATTGATTAGGGTTGAATTTTATTCATCCCACACTAATCCCAAACGTAGTTTTACTTACTTTAATACGACTAGATATTTTATAACTGTTTAATATGGACAAATATTAAACATGCTCTACTGTTAGAATGCATGTGCGCTGGTGTGTTGTTGTTGTTGTGCTTCATGTAACATCCAGTGTGTTCATCGTGGCAGAGGTCGCCGTCTGCCATCACTGACTCCAACTAAACATCTGTCGCGCAAACAGACGTGAGGCTCAAACTGGAATCTTTCCATTTCCGTAACCTTCACGCAGTGTTCACCAGCGCCGCCCTACTGGTGGAGAGATGGTAGATGTCATGGCTTAAGGTTTATTTAGTTCATTTAATTATAATAATAAGTACATTAAGGGCCTATTGAAAGCAGGGTTCAGTGAGTGACACCGGATGGTTCCATCCACTTTGCTTGAAAGCCAAAGCTGCTATTAACAAATTATTACCTCCTCATTAACTTTTAAGGTAATTTGGAACAAGTTGGTGTAATTACATGTTGCCATTTTCACACCTCACTCGTGGCCTCGGTCTAGCACACCGACATTTTCTATAAGGAGGAATATCTAACAGTTTTATTTAAACGACGAGTCTCCACATCTCGCCTTGGTCTTTGAGGATGACTAACCCTGTTCTACAGCTCCGACGCTCAGACAACAGACGTCCACAGATGGAGGAATGATGTCACGACTAATCTGCAGACAACACTAATACACTCTGTGTTTTTTTTCTCCACTTTCTCCCTCACTTTTACTCCTTTTCTCTCCTTTCATCCTGGCTCTCTCTCTTCATTTTTTTTTCTGCCTTACATCTGCATTCCTTTCTACATTCCCCTTTCAATTTCACCTTCTTCCCTCGTAGCCGCTACTCTCGGAGGTGGAACAGGCTGTGCAGAAGAAAGTGCCGAGCAGCCGTCAAATCTCAAGTTTTCTATTGGCTGGTTATCTTCCTAGTTTTCCTCAACACCCTCACCATCGCCTCTGAACACCACATGCAGGCTCAGTGGTTAACTGATGTGCAAGGTGTGTATGTGAGCGTTCAGCCCCAGAGAAAACCTCCTCTGCCAGGACCAATGTTTTGCCTTGACTTGCAATTTTTTGACAACATCTTTTCCCTCTTCGGTAGACATAGCTAACAAGGTGTTGCTTGCACTCTTCACCGGCGAGATGCTGCTAAAGATGTACAGTCTGGGCCTGCAGGTAGGAAGCACAGAAGTCACTGTAGTTTGACAAAAGTGTCACACAGGAACTACTTTGTCCTTCTCATCGTTCTGCTTCCTCTCCGCAGGCGTACTTTGTTTCGCTCTTTAACAGATTTGACAGCTTCGTAGTGTGTGGAGGAATCCTGGAGACCATTCTGGTGGAAACCAAGATCATGTCTCCTCTGGGCATCTCTGTGTTACGTTGCGTGCGCCTGCTGCGGATATTCAAAATAACCAGGTTAGCACTGGCAGCGCTAATGTAGCTAAGTAGTAGTTAATATGAAATCCATGAAGTCAAATAACAGTAACAGTAGAACAATAACAACTAATAATATCTAGTGGGCAGTTACAGCAGGGGTCCCCAAGCCCTGGTCCGTGGACCAGTACTGGTCCGCGGGTCAGTTGGTTCTAAGCCAGCTCATTTCCATTTACTTTATTTATCCAAATGTATTCCAATTATTTTTCAAAATAATATATCTTTCAGACTCTATAAATAGAATAAAGTATAAAAGATGTTTTATTTTAAAAATGTACCGATCCATTTTCCTGTAATATTCCTTCAACGACCGAGGTAAAACTACCGGTCTGTGGTACCGGCTTTATTTTTTTAAGTTTAACAGGTTTTTTTAAGTTTTAAAAGCTCCACAAAATTCAAAAACAAGCCAGCTGTGGTGGTTGAGAAAAGATAAGATGTCTTGGGGGAGGGAGAGAGAAAAAAATAATGCTAGCAAGGACACTAGATCAAAAACCAGAGGATATAGAGTAAAAAAAAAGACCGAGTCTGAACAGAATCAAATTCTACTTGAGATTTTCAGAAATTCTTTAAGAACCTTTAAACTCTTCTCCACAGATACTGGAACTCTCTGTCCAACCTGGTGGCTTCTCTGCTCAACTCCGTCCGCTCCATCGCTTCCCTGTTGCTCCTGCTCTTCCTCTTCATCATCATCTTCTCCCTCCTTGGCATGCAGCTCTTTGGAGGGAAATTTAACTTTGACGAGACCAGACGCAGCACGTTCGACAACTTCCCTCAGTCTCTGCTCACCGTGTTTCAGGTAATGAGGATGTCAACATCGTCCCACTGCTTTGTTTTTAATCCGTCCTGGGAACACGATGAGACAAGTCTGTGTCATACTGTAGATCCTAACAGGAGAGGATTGGAACTCCGTGATGTACGATGGCATCATGGCGTACGGCGGTCCGTCTTTTCCTGGCATGTTGGTGTGCATCTACTTCATCATCCTCTTCATCTGCGGAAACTGTATCCTATTCTAACAGGAGATGGTGACACAGACATTGTAATAATGTTGATTTGAAAAAGAAAAGTGATTTTAAGTCCCATAATGGTACATTGTGTACATTGTGTAATATTGTTTTTTCCTCCGATAATGAAAACCCAATAACTCAGTGCCTGGGTTTCACCAAATGATGTGTCCTAAACGTAGTTTTGGGGATAAACAGCTGTATATTCAAGTGCAAGTCACTAGATGGCAGCATTGCAGCTCATTTAATTAATCTCATACTCAATGGTTTGTGGCGATACCGGCATTTCCGGACTCTAAGCCGGACTCTATACTTTTTTCACACGCTTTGAACCCTGAGGCTTAAACAATGATGCGGCTAATTTATGGATTTTTATGGCACTCCGAGTCTGTATCGGAAATTAAGTGTTTGGACGATATCAGATGTCAGCAAAAAGTTAATATCGCACATCCCTAATTTTTGCCTTTGAAAATGAATAGTGTCAGAGATTGAACTGCAGTGAGACGGTCAGTGAGACGGTCAGAGATGCAGTGAGACGGTCAGTGAGACGGTCATTGAGACGGTCAGTGAGACGGTCAGTGGGACGGTCAGTGGCACAGGTTGATCATTTTTGTTTACAACCAGCAGCCCCGACGACGTGACGGTCGGCCACCTCCTTAACTCCAACACTCTGAACAGATATCCTACTAAACGTCTTCTTGGCCATCGCTGTGGACAATCTGGCAGATGCTGAGAGTTTGACGTAAGAAAGAAAGAAAGTGAATGAGAAACTGATGGGAGAAGACTTTGTGGGGGAAGGGGAGGGAGTGTGGGGAGGGAGTGGGGGTTTAAGTGCTTCTGAAAAGTCTTGATGTTTCCCCTCAGTGTCACAAATCTTTAAATGTTTTCTGTGTGGTGTTGATCTGGGAGCTGGGGATAATAGTGCAGTGGAGACCTCTGCACTTATTTCCTTGTCACTGTCGTGTTGATTCACAGATCCTCCAACAGCAAACAGTAATGATACATGGTTTGTTTTGCTTTGTTTTTTGGTCGTTCTGCAGGCTCGCCAGTCCAGACAAGCGTCAACAAAACGAGAAGCCTCCTCTGGAGGAGGAGAAGAAGGAGAAAATCGAGCTGAAGTCCATCACCTCAGACGGAGAGACCAACACCAACACCAAGGTACAGACACCGCACAGTGGTCTACAATTTATTGTTTCAAGGTTATTCTTTTACGAAATAATAATAACAAATAACAGAGAAATTTCTCTCTATGCTTCTGTTTCTTTTGGAGAAATTATTTTTGCTTTTATGACACTTTATTGTGGTTTCTGCTGCACGGAGGCTTACAAACAAAACAATTGATGACATTGAATTTTGAACAACTTTATAATATATACTTATCTAACAAAAGCAATGTTTGTCAATGTTTCAGTCAGATAAATATAAGGGTTTAACTGAATGTAACTGAAATTTAAAAAAACGTCTTCTCAAAGATTCAAAAACAATTTGCCAAAAAGGTTTTCCAAAATTTCTAAAATTCACAATAAAAGTGTATAATGTATATTGTGCCTCAACTGATGGTGCTATGATGTTACTCAGTCTCTGTTATATCAAGGCCTTCAAGATTAAAGACGACTCTTATCCATTTCAGATCAACATGGATGACTACTGTGCAGATGAGAGCGAGGAAAAGAATCCGTATCCTGCCAACGATTACATAAGTAAAACCAAGACCGTGGAGAGAAATGCTAAAAAGAACCTTGTCTCATCATCAATTCTAAAATTGTTCATTTCTGTCCTTCAGGAGACGATGACGATGATGGGCCAAAGATGCCCGTGGGCCCGAGGCCACGGCCGCTCTCGGACATTCACCTTAAAGAAAAAGCTATTCCAATGCCCGAGGCCCGAGCGTTCTTCGTCTTCAGCCACACCAACAAGTGAGAGGGAACTTCAAACCTGCCACTTTACACATGCACTGAAAACCATCATTTCCAAGGAGAGAAACTGGAACAACTCGCTCTTTTTTTCTCTTTCTCTCTTTTCCCTTCAGATTCAGGGTTTTGTGCCATAAGATCGTCAACCACAACATCTTCACCAACCTCATCCTCTTCTTCATCCTGCTCAGCAGCATCAGTCTGGCAGCGGAGGACCCGGTCAAGTACGACTCCTCCAGGAACCAGGTGAGCCGTGATGTCTGTAAAAGTCAGCCATGGTCGGCCATAAAACCTCCAGTATCTGCACTGCAGTTTTACACACTGATGGAACATCACTATATTTTATACAACATATCGATTTTCCTCACTTCTTATGGCTGTTACTGAGTTGGGGGCTGTAGTTGTCAAGTGTCCTGTAATGAAAACACAGTGAGTGGAGTAACTGTCTGTGTTCTTTTCTACTACTTCTCTCTCTCTCTCTCTCTCTCTCTCTCTCTCTCTCTCTCTCTCTCTCTCTCTCTCTCTCTCTTTTTTGTATTGTATTCTCCACAGCTCTACTGCACTCTGCTGTATATCACTGGTCCACTCAATTAACCTTCATATTAAACCTTAATGACAAATTATTCAGGATTTACACATTATTTTCTGTTGTCATCGTCTGTTTCAGTCTAATACGGATCCATTAGCCTTTTGGCCACAATGTCCCAGTATTTATGTGGGATCATGAACGCAGCTCACCATGACCTGAGTGACTGAGTTTTAAAAAAAAAAATCCAGATTTTGCTTTTTTCTTTGTTGCAAATGGCTGACAGAGTCACGGTCTCTGTTGTGCTTTTTAGATCTTGGGCTATGCAGACCACGTCTTCACTGGACTCTTCACCATCGAGATCATTCTCAAGGTAGTACTTCACAGTATTTCACTGTATACACTGAAGATACAAGTCCATATAATAATAATAATAATAATAATAATAATAATAATAATGGGCCAAAGAAGTGACATTTATGTATTTATTTAGTGCGTTACAAGTGTTTTTTCATGACATGATTTATCTCCTCTTTTGTTTTGCAAGATAAAATTAAACAGTAAGAGTTAGTCCAGAAATGGCCTGGGTAAGATCAAAGATGACTAAAAGTTGCCCTCATGTCATCAAAGTGTCATCGAAGCATTAATAATTTGCAACATTTAAAGCTGATTTTTTTAAAAAAAAACAACAACTAATGCAACAACTAATAGTCACCTCAAAGGAAATTTGCTGAAAATGATTGAAATGAAAATAATGCAGGGAAAACATAAATGGATGTTAGATAAATGATAAACAGAAAAGCTGTCTAAAGTTTGACAACGACAACAGTAAAAAAATTAACTACGGCAAAAAAAAAAAAAATTCATTTAGTGTCATGGACCCCTGGTGGTCGACCTTGGAATCAAGTATGTAGTTTGGCCCCTAAGCCAGACTTTGACACATCTGATGTCGATCTAAACTTTTTACTGAGTAGCTTCATGAGGTCCAAACTTCAGCCTGGGAAAAAGCTTTTTTTTTTTTTGTTTCAAAATAAAATCTCTCTTGTACTTTGCTGCATCTGAAACCAGTCCTGAGCCTTTGGTCCTTTATGTTTTCTAATCCATAATCTCCGTACCTGTGGTGTGTACAGATGACAGCCTATGGAGCCTTCCTGCACAAAGGTTCATTCTGTAGAAACTATTTCAACATTCTGGACCTGGTGGTGGTCAGTGTGTCCCTCATCTCCTCTGGAATACAGTGAGTCTTCATGTTTTCTAGTCTTGTTTTGTTGTGTTTTTTTTTTTTTTTCCCCCATCGAGTTCATTGAAACATACTGTAGTAACAGTAGTGGCTGCTGCATAAAAAAAAAACATAAGTCAATGTGTAAAGTGGATAAGTGGGAAAAAATGTTTTTCCTTTTTCCTAAATTTGCCCATTCTTCACACTTCATCCTCTGCTGTCTAATAACTTCACACCTCATTTCTCCCAATCCTTTCTTTCTCTCTCTCTCTCTCTCTCTCTCCCTCTCTCCCTCATTCTCTCTCTCGGTGCTGTTTATTAAAATGTATTTTGCCTCCTGTAGCAGATAACTCCTTCTAATGCTCAGATGTGTCTCAAGTTTAATATGCTATACCACACTCTCTGTCTCTAATGCTCAATAGCCTAGACCTCACGACGTAAGTCCACATTAGACTACATTAATAAACCCCCCTCTCACCCCCTCTCCCTCCCCCCTTTAACAGCCCTGTAACTTTACATGTGTAACACTTTTATTTAGTTGTTTCTGTCATCTCGGAGAGTCTTTGTTGGAACATAAGAACTCTTTCACCTTAAACCGTTGAAAGTGTACTGATTATTACAGTTGTGTTACTGCACAGAAATACTGGACCAGTGTGATGCAGTTTCCGTGGTCAAACATTCCAGATCTTCTTATTCTGCTCTCACAGTTCTGGTGTAATTAAAGGCGTGCAGTCAGGTCTTTGTCATGCATTTGGCAGCAGGTCAGGCCCCACGCTCATATTATTGGAAGAACTCAACTCTCCGGGGTTATAGAAATGACAATTGAATGCTAAAGTGGTTTCTGTTTGTTAAAGGAGTGAGTGAGCGGAATCATTCGCAGGCAAAATCCACTGCGATGACGCGTTCTTTAGCACGATAGCAACTCTTTTTTTACTCTCTAATGTAAGTGTGTTATTATTTTTTGATATGTTTAAATAATATCACACAGAAGCAGCGTCTTGGATCAAAAGTTGCTAAACTTTTCAGGAGTGTTTTTCTAGCAGGAAATAAATTATCAATCTGTTAACAAACATGCACTAATGGCTAACCAGGTGTAATGACAGCTGTGCTAATTTTGGAAAAAGATTAAGGAAATCTCTGTGTGAAAAAGCAATGTGTAGAAACGGCTGCTAAAATGTAGCTAGCAGCTAGCGTTAGAATCTGATCTCCACTGGACTGCCTCTGCAGTAGAACTGTGTAAAAAAAGTTTGTTCTACAACAAGAACATTTTAAAACTAAAATAATTAAATAAATAAGTACTTAGTAATCATAAAGGTAGTTTAAGTAAAAAAAAAACTAATGTAATTAAAGATGTGACTTAGCATCTGCGCCTGTTTGTTGTTGTTCAGTAGAAACAGGTTTTCTTCTGTGTTCCACTGCCTCCTGAATTTTTTTTTTTTTAAATCAACAGTTAAAATTAAATACATTTTCTTTACTCGAACAGTGTACGGAAGCTGAAAATTTTAATTTTTAGTTTTTCGGGGTTTTTTTAACATAAAGTAACTGTTCCGTTCGTAAGATTCACACCGTCATCCTCTTGGATTTGACTGCGACTGATAACATCCTGCTCCACTTGAACTGCCTTTAACAGACATTTAAACTGTACCTTCCTGTTTAAAATATTTGTACTACGGGTCTTTTCCTCACACTGAGTAATGTCTCTCCCTGTTAATCTTGTTCTTTGCCGACTGAAAAGACACTGGTGTGAATGAATACAATGACATTTTGAATATTCTTCTCCTGGCATTTTGAGAAGGGGATTTTGCAGGTGTTTTTTTCTACCACCAAAAAAACACTAATTTAATTCTTGTGTTAAGAAAGTAACAAGTTAAGGTGTCTCTTTGGTCTAAATCTCCAATCCAAAATGTCACAGTATTCATTTGATGGATATTATTCTGTCATTATTTTTGTTGTTTCTGAAGGACGCACTGTTTGACCTCTGGATTGAACTGACACACTCCTTCTCGTCTGTTTGCCTGTGGAGCTCTTGTTGGCGTCTTTGTGTCGTACTTGTGCGTGTTTGTCCCCGTGTCATATGTGTTGCTGTTCGCCACAATCAGCCGCAGGGAAATGAGTTGTGGCTGATTACTGGCAGTTTCTGTGTTGTCGTCCTGTTCTGACAATTTGAACGTTTTACTCCAGAGAAGTTACAGAATCTCTCTGCAAAGTTCTGAAAGTGACCCGTGATGACAAGCTCATTTTCTGACTGATGGAAATGTTTCGACTGCTTTCACTGCACAAAACCTGATTTCCACATAAATGCATTAGGCTCCATTATATTATGGAACATGCAATTAGTCAAAACTCAAATTTTCAATATGCCAGGGTTAATGGCTGTGGAATTTCTGATTTTAATTTGATTTCCTTGTCATTTTGACCACCTAATATATAGAGAATAATATTTTATAGCTTATGTTCTTGACCATAGGGTTTATACACAAATATATACTACACTAGTTGTCATATTGAGCAAATATATGTAAGAAAAAGCAAATATTTGTTGACTATTTTTTATATAGATTCTCAACCTGTGTTTTGACATTCAAACTATTTAAAACTCTATACTACATTTTTAGATTGTTGTAAAGTATCTATCTTTACATCTGCAGCATTTGATAAATCAGATGTTTCCACTTCTGTATTATAACTTGTTGTGTCTTGCAGGTCCAGTGCCATTAACGTGGTGAAAATCCTGCGAGTCCTGCGAGTGCTCAGACCACTGAGGGCTATCAACAGAGCCAAAGGGCTAAAGGTCAGTACGCCGGGGCGAGAAGGCAATTTGAACGTCAAGCTCCAGAGATGTTATCAAAAGTTATCAAAGCAAAACCAAATATCCAGACCCAGAGTGGGAAGTATACGAAGTGTTTTTCTGAAGACCATTCTCAGTCCTCAAAGACATACTCACCGGTCTCTCTGCTGTTTTCTCCAGCACGTGGTGCAGTGCGTCTTTGTGGCCATCAGAACCATCGGCAACATCGTAGTCGTCACCACGTTGCTCCAGTTCATGTTTGCATGCATCGGCGTGCAACTATTTAAGGTAGGTTTAGAAAAAGGAGAGTTGTCTGAAAATAAAAAAATAAAACATTAAATAATATCAACAACTTTTTTTAAATTACTAACCTGAAGCTCTGCCTCTTTTTTTTTTTTTAACCACTAGGGCAAATTCTTCATCTGCACTGACAGCTCTAAACAGACTGAAGTTGAGTGCAGGTTGGATTTCTTTATTCTTGCACTAACAGGAGGGATAAAAAAGACAAATACATAAATATGCTGTTTGTGCGCGTCTGACGACTCGGTTCTGCAGGGGTTCCTACATCATGTATAAGGACGGAGACGTGGGGAAGCCTGCGAGAGCTCAAAGACACTGGGAGAACAGTGAATTCAACTTTGACAACGTGCTGCAGGGCATGATGGCTCTGTTTGCTGTGTCGACGTTTGAGGGCTGGCCAGGGTGAGCTGTGATTGGATGTTGGCCTCGTACTAAAANAGGTTATTGTACAGAGCCATAGACTCCCACGCTGAGGACGTGGGTCCCATTTACAACTACCGCGTGGTCATCTCCATCTTCTTCATCATCTACATCATCATCATCGCCTTCTTCATGATGAACATCTTCGTTGGTTTCGTCATCGTCACGTTCCAGGAGCAAGGAGAGCAAGAGTATAAGAACTGTGAGCTGGACAAGAACCAGGTAAACGTTAGATGAACATATGTCTGGACGTGAGTTTGAAGACGAGAGTCCGACCGGGTGTTCGGCCAGATCTGAAGGTTGACACAGGGCAGTTAACTCATTCAACTCGTCTGTCAATAAGCCGCTACGCTTTCAAGTATAGGTTCGCAGCTGGGCTCCCTCAGAACTTACTTTTTTCTAGGACAGTGAAGGCATCATAGGTAAACAAATTTGCTGCTAGTTCGAGACTGCTGTTATTAATATAATATAATATCATATAATATATTTTAATCTCCATGCAGTTAAGCAGCTACTGTATAGATGCTGTGCTTATGAAATATAGACACATCTTTTGCTGATAGCCAATATGCCCATATTGTCCAAACACTTAATTTCAGATTCCGATATGAACCGATACAGTTATAGCGGGGCAGTGGTGGTCTTTCCTCTGGTAATATTTAATTATTATATCTGTACAGACCACTGTAAGAGTTGCTGCATACAACCCCCTGATTATCAATATAGATCAATAAAATGAGCTGCAATGCTGCCATCTAGCGAGATTTGAGACTTGTTTATCGTTCATAACGGTCTGTTCATGTGTTATGAAGGAGTTGGCAGTTATGGAAATGGGAGGTGAGGAGATGTGGTGAGAGAGAGCGTGTGTGTCTGAGGAAGAGAGAGTGTGAGAGGAGGAAAAGGCGTTTTTGGAGAAGCAGATATCACATGATCATTTGAAATATGATATAATAATGTTTGAAAAAACCCATATCACCAAGAAGAGTGTGTTTTTGTTTTCCCCTGTATGTGCGTCACACAGCGTCAGTGTGTGGAATACGCTCTAAAGGCTCGTCCATTGCGTCGCTACATCCCCAAAAACCCATACCAGTACAAGGTGTGGTACGTGGTCAACTCCACCTACTTTGAGTATCTGATGTTCACGCTCATCCTCCTCAACACCATCTGTCTGGCCATGCAGGTGAGCAGGAAACATCCACAAAAACAAGCAGAAATCTCCCTTTACTCAACATTTTATTTAATTGATTTTTTTTTTTTTTTGTCATGCAGCATCATGGACAGACAAAAAATTTCAACGACGCCATGAACATCCTCAACATGCTCTTCACTGGACTCTTCACTGTGGAGATGATCCTCAAACTGATTGCCTTCAAACCAAGGGTAGGTCCATTTTTAAAAGCACCACAGGTGTGTGTTGTACGCACTGGGCAGGCTGTTAAAACGATTGAACGACATGAGTGCGGATGACTGTCTGGTTTACTCCCCGAGCATCAGATGATAATCAGTACGATCTGACTTGATGTGCTGTTTAATCCCACTGCTCCCTCGTTACCCGGCTGTTGTTGCTATGTACGGTCCAGTTGTTGAATTTCCTGGTGCATCATCATTTTAAACAGTAACAGATGGAACCGATTCCCTTTGTTGCTGCACAGGAAGCGAAAAGCCCTTGAATGCAGTCAACAGTGAAAACATTGGGTTTTTTTATTCAGTTCTTTTATTATTAT